GTACCCTGAGGTTAACGAATGTTGAAAATATTTATTTTCTACAAATGTTGATGTTGCAAAGCTTGGTTAGAAAATGAGAGAGAGTGTGGCGGTCTACCATTGCGCCACATGCTGATTGGTGACGGTTTAGTCAATGTCCCCGTATCGTCACACGGTTTGACACATCTCGTAAAGCTTCAGTGTTTTCCTGTAACATGCGATACTTTTGTGAGTAAAACTCTCAAATATCACACAAACGGTACATCGTGTTTTGCATTCACAAGCCCGGAAATAAATCAAAAATTTGGTACCACCGAAAAAGGCACATGTTTACCGTTCCGTATATCCACTCCTAGCGAACTCTGTTCACGAAAGTTAGATACGTTAACAGTTGGACGATAACAATCACCGTTCATAATGGACACCCATCAAGTTTTAGACGAAACACCTAAGTCTCGAGCCTTAATCGTAGTAATTATGTCAAAAATTGTAGCGTTGATAAACTGAGAATAGTAGAAAATAATTCTGCTCTCCTTCGTTTATTGACCTGAGCATGTTGCTCACCTAGACCGGTGTGACTAAAGTTTGTGCGTCGAAGATAAAGAACTACGAGTGGTGGCTAAAGCATTGTGGATTTTGGACAAAGCTTGATGGGAAAAGGTTTAGTGGATCTGTGGACCAAAGTGAGTGCAGACATGCCTAGCGTGTACAGTCACACACTGCAGGCAAATCTTTCACAACTTGTTCGAATTTTTCACGTTTATTCACACTTCCTCCCTGTCTGTCTTTTGCATCTCAGTTCGCTCTCCTATGACATAATCAAACTAGTTTTACCATACATCCTCTCTTGTAACACACAGAACGACTTTTTAGGGAGGCAGTGGATACACATACCGGAAAATTAACATGAACTGCGTAACCGGTCACGTGATTCCCGGTCATTTTCCCCTCGATTCACACGTTACTTAATGCTCTGTGTATTCGTGTCACCAAATACTGCATTATATTTTTTCTACCATTCTTGCATCAGGCTTATTTCTTTCTTTGTTCTACAAATGGTTACGAGCTGATCGTCCACTTCCGATGGGAAATTTGTATTTCATGCGTGTTCTTCTCTGGCACTCGTACGAGAATGTCTTCACAACCGTGTAGAAAAATGTACAAGTTGGATAAAACATGCGTCCGGTTTGTTATTATAATCGCCTAATGAGCTTGAAGTACACTGAGGAGGTGACTTTTTCAATCTACAAGACAAGAAGGTAATGATCCATTATTCGATAATATAAATCTTCAATAATCCGGATAAATATTACTTGTTTATGAGTTTGAGGAAAAAAATGGGGTTATGGAAAGGTGTTTTGTAAGAATAATGATGATTCAACAGCTTCTTAGTAAGTGGTATTCAATACTTGCCACTGGAACTCGCGAATTTAATTTATTTTGAAAGTAAGAAAGCTAGTATGTTCCAAAGAGCTGAATCTTTGGTAATGAGCTTATAAAAGGGCCAGGAAGTTGCAAACAGAGCAGTGAGTCATGAATCAAGAGATAAATTTGGGGATTGGATCAGCAACAATGCGAATGGTCAAACATGATTCAAATACGCCAAAGAATAAGACGCTATCCCACCTTCGATAAGGCAACTACGTTCTCTGGTGAGACATAAATTAAGCCTGGTAAAGCGAGTGAGACGTTCATAAGAGTTTAAAATGTTTCATCAACGGGAGATCAATTTTCCAATGAGAATGAGATAAGAAAAATAAAAAATAAACGGGAGATCAAGTAAATATGAATTATTTCTAGCCAATAGACAAGTTAATACTCAAAGTGTAGATTTTGATCTCAGAAGTTACACATGCCAGCACGATACATATGGGCTTTGGGGGCGTGGAATAGACCTTGAGTTTTGCTGTCTTGAGGTAATCAGGATTGGAACAAGACAGTATCATGGGCAGACAATTGCTCATATCTGATGGCTAAATGGAACACACGAAAAATATTGAACCAAAAACGATCGAGTAGGGTATTAGAAGTTGGAGGGAATTTTGTTCATGAAACCAATGAGAGAAACCACGGAGTTTCAAGGGACACAATGCTCACTGCGATTTTTCTCAACATATCCATCAAAACGAATTAAGGATGACAGGAGTATGTAAACTATAAAAATAACCGGGCCACATAAACTCCACAATTATTGATTTGTTGTTTTCACATCACTCTTATGCTCTTCACTCTTTCTCTCTCTCTCTCTCTATCCAACTGCCTACAGAATCCTTCCGATATCAATCCGGAGGAGATAGAGGGAGGATACCTGTTTTTGATCAACATCTGCTTACCTCTCTCTATCTCTCAGCCATGCAGCATGTCCTTAGTTGACCTCCACGTGATTTTCTCTCTCTCTGTAAAATTTAAAATTATTATTGTTCCAAAGAATTCGACCTGCAGTTCATCCCCTAGGCCAAACAACAAATGAAAGTTACGCAAGCACATTTGAATTTGAAAATGATAAGTACTAATCCCATAGTCTATTGTCCACGATGCGCTCGCTACCTCACACCGATTATCGAAACATATCGACAAAATTTAATTTCAATTTGACACTTCTTTTCGCGATCAAACGACTTCTGTGTTGATATAGAAAGAAGGAAGACAATAAAGAGTGAGTAAATATTGAGATTGAAATCTTATCTCTGGTTTCACTTTGATTCCGGTTGCCCACAAGTTTAAATAACAAATTCTTGTTCCTTCAAATGATATTACTTATTGTATCGTATCAAAGCTTTGGCGAGTTATATCCAAGTTACCCAATCAGAATACTGGCAAAAAATGAGGAAAAGCGAGGGACACCGAGCGCGCAAAACTGCGATTAAACTACTAAATGCATTAGGAAGGTCAGAACAAACACTCACCTAATCATTTATTGTCTGGACAAGATAGGATACCAAAACGTTTTTGTACGCACATATCCGAGATGGGCGGAGTAGGCTAATTGAAAAAAGGGGTGAGTGGGATTTGCGTACACATACGTCAGTGTTTAAACGACAGGTGCAATCAGATAGAATATAGTCAACACAATTCAAGCATGCATCAATTTGACCATCAATCAGAACAGATAACGGAACTTGGGGAATATGGCTGATTAGTGAGAGGCCACGCTTTAGCAGCTTGGAATCAGTCTTCAACAAACCAGAAAAAATCACGGGGTAGCGATATAGGGGGGTATTTGGAGAACGAATCTTTGAAGAAAAGCTGCTATCACCAACAAATCAGAATAAAAAAGGAATCAGTTTTCTTATCTGCTTTCGAGCGGCACTTTGGTTATGTAAAGACCAGTGAAATTTGCTTTCAAGTAACCCTGCTCATTGGCTTTCTCTGAATCTGTACATTGTCGGAGAGAAATGGGGAACGATTTAGGGTAAAAATACATTCAAGGCATTTTTCAGGATTGAGATTAAGATTGCATAAAGTGGAATACGTAAAGAGGTGGAATGAAATTTGCTATATCAGCCAGTTCTGATTGGTCAGATACGGAAACAGAAATGGTGATTAAATCAGCATNATAAGACAGCAGCTTCATGATTGCAGTGCAATAACAGCTTACCTTTAAGGTGTATGCTGAGATTTGGCCGGCTTTTAAACGCAGTACGTGTAATCGAGTCTGGCTACGGTTGTATGATTGCTTTTGTATGTGATGTTATTATTTGTGATAACCGACAAAGAGCACTGGACAGCTTTTTTGTCCTGTTTGAGACTCGTCAGCAGTGTGTACTTTTTGTGTCCCTGTCAGGACTTGACTATCAAGAGTGCCTGGTGATTCTGAACAATCGAATGAGCTAGTCCAAGTTTGATCAATGCTTGAATATGATTGCTTTGGTCAAGCGTCCCCCCAGTGGATCACTACTTGAATATCCTTTGAAGCGGATTTGCAAGAATACATTTTTCTTTTGGTCCGTGAGTGCTTTGGGTAACGTGGTCCCTTCTATGATATATTTATTCTACGTGAAAGATAATTGACATCTTGAACGTTATGTTAGCCAATGAAAAGAATAACCAACTGTTATATCCTTTTGGGGACTCACCACCAATGTTCTGATTGCAGCCCTATTGAAACCGTCGGCAGGGTCTGTGGCCTGTGAAACTACAATGGTCATTCGAACAATAAGCTTGAAAACAATTATGGTTGATGATCATCACATCGATCCGCGGGCGATGTGCTCCAGTTCTATCGCGGCCACCCAACTTTCACGTAATGAGGTATTTGCCCGTAATTTCTCTACTAGCTGCTTCTTTGCCGGAAATCGGTCCACTGAATAAGAAGCAGAAACCGGATCTGAGGAAGGCTATTCATCCATGTACAATCAATGGTACGAAAAATCTAGCAAGTTTAAAACCAAACTAATAAAAGTGAATCCGTAATATCCGTGTTTGACAAAATAAGTTGCGATGATACAAACAAAGTCGATTTCGACTGTGTCCATCTTGTAGCCGATTTCGATGCTGATTTCAATTATGGAGTTGCGATGATTTGTTTGGCACACAGTTTGGATTCAGACGTGTGTGAATATATATATATATATATATATATATATATGGCAGTGGTGAGGCTTGAATCTCGGACCATAAAATACAAAGCAAGTCGTGACGGACTAAACCACTACTCTACCACTACTGCCTGGTTGTACTACGCCTTGAAAAACGGATTGATCTGTTTGTCATAAATACGTTTATGCCATGAACTCTGTGAAGTGCGAAGTACACACACACATATGAAATATAATGCGGTGCATTAAGACAGGAGTCTGAGTTGACCATATACAAAACTAATCAAGATAAAATAACCTTCATAACAAAGAAATCGGTTTATGATTAGTTTATAGGCAGAATACTATTATCTTGAGCAGGCCAAAGTGAGAACATGTAACAACCAAAGACTACACGTGCGAAGGCAGAAGTTTTGTATTTTTTCAACGTTGCTATTGATATTGTGCGTAGACAATATTTGATTGAAAATAATGCGGAAAACGTCAAACTTGATTGTAATAAACAACACACCTGTCACGGACCACAAATTCAATGCCATTGACCGATGCACGGCGAATAAGATCCATAGCTTTAGTACCAGACATACCAGCGACAACGACACCGTTGATGGATAGAATTTGGTCACCAAAGCACAAACCGGCTAGAGCTGCCGGTGAATCTTTCTGGACCAGCGAGACAAAAACGCCCTAAATCAAACAATGATTAGGAAAAGGAAACGAGTTTATCATTGTTGTGTGCAAGAAAGACAGGAAAGCAACAAAAAATGGAAAACGATCTCAATTCCGAAGTAATTAAATCTATTTGCATTGTTGCTTGGCCGACTGAGGTCTTATTTTGATTATGTGAAAAGTTCAGTTCAGTTCAGTGGGATTCAAACCCACGCATGGACGCCGCCAACGAGTGTGAAAAGATTAGTGCCCTGTCGTCGTGGCCTCGTAGCTCAGCTGGCCTCAAACGGGTGTCATCATCATCATTGTACAGCGTGATACAGTAGAGCGAACTTCACTGATCCACTCTACTGATGCCAAACTGATATTGTATACAAGGTAAGCGAGAATGTTTAAGGAGGATAGGGATTAGACTTAATGTTAGGGACGGGAAAAGAAAGTGAACCTCTATGGTCAACGCGCAGAGTACACAGTCCAACTGTGCATACATACTATTTCAAGCATTCTGATCTGATAAGAAGTGACAGCATGATCGCCACTGCTGTCGGTTTGCAGCCACAACCTTCAGTGTCTCCAACCATGCGGTTTCGGAGTCTTTTGAACCCCATCCCGGAAGACGAGGGACACCAACTTTACGTATTCGCTCTGGGCATTTCTTCGCTCCTCGTATCTACGTAATACTCTGGCCTCCATGCGGTTTTGTGCAGCCTGCAACCAGCCAGCCACTGCGAATAAGGCGCGCTGCGGTAAACGACCGTTGGACGTACGCAAGACGTTTCCTAACCAGCATAGCCTATTGAGCTGGATTCGGTGCTCTAGCGAGTTCTCGTTCGATGCATTCCCAAATACCCGACGACTTACTTCTAGGTTACTAAGCCGCTCACTCCATCCCACTTGGGACTACGTAGACTACGCAGACATCGATTGTCGGACACTGCTACTTGCAAGTTCAGTCTCACAACCGTAAAGCAGAACTGATTGTATAGTGGCAGAGTATACGCGACTTTTCAACTTCAGTGAAACATCACATCGTCACGACAGATGTTTAAATCCTGCGGGCGGTTTTCTTCTTCGATGCGCTACCGTCTTTTGTCACGCGGCTACCTTAGTACGAGAAGCAGTCAACTTCAGCTAATTCCTGACCGTTAAGGTTAACAACATAACTCGGCGACACCCAGTTTGGCAGCATCACTTTGCACTTTGAAGGTGAAAAGCACATGCCGAAAGAAGCGACAGAACTTGCTAATTAGTCAAGTGCTCTTTGTGTCCTCCATACATTTAAACAAGCAAACAATGTCGTCAGTATACCCCAAATCGCACAGATTTTCTCCAGCTTTCCATTCAATACCTACATTTTGGAGACAACTTAGTGCGTTCTCCAGCATTTCGTCTATGACGAAATGGAACAGGAATGGCGAAAGAGGGTACCCTTGACGAGCACAGCTGTTAGTTACGAATAACCTACTCAGCTCGCCGTAGACACTTACGCTTCCAGAAGTATGCGCGTTGAGTAAACGGGTGTGAAATACAATATATATAATCTGTAGATAACAAATCTTCTTTGCGCCACAAACGCAGCACATTCTGACCAGTCAGTTATTAATGCCACCTCGTTGATTGAGCATCACTAATGAGATTATTTTTGTTTATCTTTTATGGGTGTGTGTGTGTGTGGGGGGGTTATGGCTCACAGAATGAACGTGACTGGTAGATTTTAATCGCATACCGATGGATGTAGTGAGGGCTGAACAGGACAGAGGATAAAATGTTACCCGTATTTGATGTGAAAAATTTCTGGTTTCGTTTTAGATCGGGTAAAAATACTGCAAAAAAAATTGGTGAAATATGCAAATGTAAGTTGGATCACAATGATCGAATCTGAAATTAAAATGAACCATGTCAATCTGTCTACAGGAAACTTATGCAATGAGGCTAAGACTGGGTCTGAGAACACCGCAGCACGTCCGCAACAGTATGGCTTGTTTGTAGGTGCTAGCTATTCAGCTTGATATCTTTACCAAGACATGCATAAGGTTTTAACACTCCTAAGTAATGCGTTGCGGATGTTTCAAACTTATCGATTCCAGCTGGCTAGGTATACAAATACACATACACACACACCGAGGCGTGATTGTTCCAATCGATAGAAAAAGTATTTAGTCTACCGGCGTGCCGAACTATTATCACACAAAATTTTTACATTCCTTGTCAGGTTCTCGAATATAAATATGCGGGTCCAGTCCATGATCGAGAGATCTCGTTTTAGACATGCAGCGGGTCTGTATGTTGTGCCGATTGGTAACCGATCAATCGATCGTATCTTTCTATCATGTTCACCAATCTTGCCTAGAGTAGAATAAATAGACTCTCCGTGGCCCCAGCCCTGGTTAGAGTATTGCAATCGCATGATCTAATTCCCGAGGGGCATGTGAGAAAACATTTGCTTCGAATCATCTTGTGCCGGTGATCACGTGCAAGGCATAACTTCTTCCGAACAGTTTACCTAGTGTCAATTCATTCTATAGACCAGGTCATTGCAAATGGAGCTAGAAAAGGCCATTGTTGAATACTATATCCAAGAACGACCACGCGGTTTCGAACCGGTTCCCAAACCTACATATGAGATGTGAGAACGCATAAGCGCTGATCGGACCACATTATTTTTTTATGTACCTTGAACTGGTGAGTATTCACCAACATCGAAAGATAAAGGTTGAATTTGTAAAGAAATTAGCAAGTATATAACCTACGACTGAAGGAATAGTGCTATCAGAGACAAAGTGCAGCAATCTTTGTCACTTAACTATTTTCTTGGATAGTAATTGCTGTAGATGAAAAGGCATTTTTACACGAGATTTGTCCTTATCCCAAACAAATGCTTGATGCAAGTGCTTCCCAAGAAATACGATATCACAAAAATCATAGTTTGTTGCGAATTGGAAAGTTCAATTGAAGAAAGACATAACTCATAAAGTTAGCAATTAATCCACAGATAACAGACTTAATCAGTTGCCGATGCTTGGATTATACACATTGCAGGGCTCTGTTTTCATTCAGTAACCTTCATCCAATCGATCCGAAAGTAGATTTGAACTTACGTTCTGACAAATCATTATTCCGTTTTGGTTCCTTTGTCTTCAATTCACTTGCTTCACGGTGTTCAGATATTTGTAAAATCAATTTTTCGGGAAGGAGGAATAGACGAATGAAAGGGCCACCATGTCGTACAAAGAGAACTGAACAATAAGCCTGCACTGTTGGGGTAGAGTGCGCATGATTTGAGGAGACGATAAATCGTTTACGCCTCCTTTATACGACGAATTCGTCGCACAATGTTTCATTTCATCTTCATTTTATAATTAACTTTGCCTCTGTATTCAGCCGTTATAGTCTTCTATTCATGTTAAGCTCGATTGTTGTGGCACGATAGTCCGTTGATGAGTCCATATTCTGAGAAAGCTGTCACTTACTTACTTCAGATTCCTTCATGAACTGAAGTAGGACAATCCATCTAGGTAGCTGAGCCGACGGGGTTCTGTTTGCTTTACTTGTAAGTTACTTAAGCAGGTTTTTAAATTCATTTTGTGGATATTTGTTGAAGGCGAATGTTTTAAACCATTTTCTTCCGGATTATAGATTTATCAGATAATGAAATAAGCAAGACCGCTCCAACCGGAAATTAGACTTGGAATTATGGGTGAATTGGAATATACCGGATCAGATTGATCGAAAAATACAAAGGATCAATCAGAGGGCCAGATGGAATGCAATCATAAGAAGTATAAGTGCACTCATTCGGCTCATACCACATATAAGCATTGAAACATTCATTATCTTTCAACCAAACTGAGAGAACAACACCCCAGTTTCTGATGTTACTGATAGTTTAGACGATAATAAATCGGCAGAATCGATGAGCGTGTGACTGAGCAAGCGCTTCATTTAACAATACCACTCACCTTGGAGCCAAAGACTAAGAAAACAACATCATTATGCCTTAACTACGCGAGATCTCATAATTATCAGATGAACAAGATCCCATTTTTGAAGGTCATCTTAATAAATCACAATCCACAATGATGTTAGAGTGATCACAAGATAGACTGTTCATCAGGGTGTAAAGCGCTCGTGGCGATCTTTTCTGTCGATAACAAACACACATATCTAGTTATATTTTTCGAACAAAAAGATTAGTTTTGTGGTTTCGGGTTCTATGGAGCCTAACAGCACTCAGAATCAAACAAAACACCTCTTTGTTTTTTTATGTCGCTGTGAACTGACATTCACTAATCCATTGTCTCCGCACATCACCCGTTATGGTATTACAAACTTATTACATAATTACGCAACATATTTTGCTCCTCATGCAACCTTCAACTAATCTGGTACATCATTTTGTGATCAACTGTGCACAGAACAACCCTGCTTAACAAGAGAAACTGCTTCCAAAGCGTCGCTTCTCCCAAAATAACAAGTGAACAGTTTTCACGTAGGTAATCTTGAGAATATTATGAAAACGTTACCTCTCCCAGCATCTGAATACTTTTCGTCTGTATTCTAACTTCACGGGAACTCATCTCCTGCTCTCGTGTCCAAAACAACCTTACTCATGATTCAAATATTGGCTGAGCTTTCATATCTATGCATCATGTCTCGATTTGTTTGAGAAAATTATGAGGAACTAGTTTTGGTACCATCCTACCCTAGGCTAGCTTGACTTCAATCATCTGATTTCATTATTTGCATTTGACAGTAAGTAACATTTCGCTTTCTCATCATTCAAGCGCACTTGTATATAATACTCTAGTAGATATGCTAGTTAGCACTCTGATTATGGCTTGTGTCGAACTTACTCTGCCTTCTCATACCATTCTATATAAACTAACTTATTTCTTTTGTAATATTATACGTACCATCTTTGGTGAAAAGAGGTTTACTGAATTGGAATCAATCTTACAACTAGATGAGGCTGATTAAGGTTATCAATACAGTGGCTCGGAGGCTGTGTTCGAAACTCCTCAGTCAAATTTAATAGGCAGTTTTGGATTGGTTGCAGTCCGCTGCGTGAAAATTGACTAAACAACCGTATGCTTAATGCATAAAAAGAAACTGGCTATTATCATATGAATATACATATATATATATATGTATATATATATATATATATGTAACGTAGTTCGAATCTACAACGGAAATTTATTGGTTTAAACGAATTCTATGATTTAGACAGAAATGATGTATACGACGGTGACCCCAAAATAAGCTGACTCATGCAATACATTGGGTAGGTTAATCCCAGTGAATGGATCCGTGCGATTTACGATTTCAGAAGGAGTGTGAACACCTCGCCCCCTTTCTTCTTTCAGTCTTGGTACAATGACTGAGAGGAAACCAACGTTTTTAACTTAGAATGTTTCGATCGAGTGATCATGAGGGAATAATAAACTCAACAAAAATAACTATTCAAAACGATTACTTGTCTCAAATGTTGATCCAGTTTGTGAGATATTTCTGTAGTGATTTATCAGATTAATTTGGTATCAAGTTCACAGTTCGTGGTTCAGCAATACTACTGAATAAAGATTTATTGGTGGCTCTGTTCTCGAAGGAGATTCTCTCTGTGGGATTGGCTCAGGAATTTGTGACATCAGTCGTGTGCCGCGCAATAAATAACCGCGCAAATATGTCACTTCTTGCGTGATTCTCTTTCGCAAGTCAAACGCGGATAGTAACAAACGTGTACATATGTATAAACACCACTCACGGTGTGCTATTTATCCGGTCAGTTTTGTTCCTCGAAAAGCAACTTCGTCACGCGTGATTAATTTATCCAAGTGTTCCGTAAGAAAATCAATGCCCAGTGACAAGTCTTTCAGCATTCTTTTCGTGAAACAGCTATTTGCTCTCTGTGTGCGCCATTCTAAAGGAGCGAGGTTCTGTTATGCTAGGAATGGAGCCCGAAATAACCTTGATAAAACACCAGCTTTTTGGTATAAATCGATCAGGGAATACATTGGCCTTTACTAATTGACTCAAGTGAGGGGCCACTAGGTCGATGATCACTACCTTGACCATGTGTTTCATGAAATGAACGCTATTTTTTGTTTTTCTTGTTTTGTGCTCTCGAATACAGACTCATATTATGATCTTCTGTGTGTGGCTGGAGCGGGGTGCGGTGAGGGGTTCACTCATTTGGAGTTCGTCAGTTTCCTACCCATCAGTACTTTGTTTTGGGTCCAACTGAATGTTAAATACGATGGAACTCGTTGTGATGACCAGCAAAGACCACTAGACAGCTGTTTCATCCTGTTTTGGACTGGTCAGCAATGCGTGTACCTTGTGTATCCCTGTCAACAATCAAAGCGTGAACCCTCGGGTTGGGAATCAACACCCTTACCACTGAGTTACACTGAGCTGTATTTAAATCCATTTACCTCACGGGGAATTAACGATCTCTCAAGGAGTGAAATCCATACCCAAGATCATCAAAAGTGTCTGGTACTTGTTACCCAAAAACCGATTGGTCTAATTCAAACATTTTACATCTAAATAAAGCAACCGAATTTCGTTTATGATGGACAAAATACCTAGTGGACAGCTGTTTCGTCCCGATGGAACCTCTCAGTGTTCTTTTCTTGTTGTTTATCACAGACAAAAGTCTGTTGTACCTAACTCTAAAAACTGTAGAGTTTCCTGCTGATTTAGATAATCAAGATCCAATTTAGGCAACAACCAAGAGTATATCGTCTCATTCACTCAGATTAGTCCAACATAAATGTTGGATAATCCACATGCTGGTGAATATCACCATGCATTATAATAACTGTCTGATTTTATTTAATGATCCGTAATTTAAAGTTCTCGAGTCGCACTAATGCTTCGCATGTTTCTTTTTAGCAAATGATACCTAACATTCTGCAAATTGATATGATCTGAATGAGTGGACAATTAGCTTTGGGGGTTTCACATTCTAACGTGCTTGTGCTCTATCATTCTATGTTCTCAGTTTTCAGTGGAATTTGATCGGACTCCAAAGCGTGGGAGAAGAAAGTTTATCACCGTCGATCGAACCAATTGCTAATAGAACCTGACCTTTTTCCGAGAGGAAAAATTGACACCATCGATTCCGGCCAAATACTCCGGATTAGTTATTTATTTATTTTCATTTGTCTTAGAACCAGTCACCAGGACTGGTTGTTGAATCTTTTTTCGGATGATTCATTAGGTGTCGCGATGTTTATTTACAATAATGAATCTGATGAGACCCAACCAAGTCGAAACAGCTTCCCAGTGCTTCCTAGCTTTTCAGTTCACGCTTCATTTACTATATACACGATGAATTCCCATTTGAAATAATGAGTCTAATATTTAAACGGTGTGTTTAAAAAACTCTTCACTTGGGCTGTATTATGTTCAATAGAATAGAATAATTAGGCACAACCTGTAAGCACCGTAATTCACGTACAAAAACAAAAACAAAAAAGCATGTCATCAACCGGTACTGGCCGCACACGTCCTCAGCAGTAAGCCAATCAATAACAGGCAGACACGTGTGCTGCCTGGTTGATCAGTGTAATCAAGGTCCCCATGTGAGGAACCTCCGGGTCGTGTGCGTGTATGTTTGTATCCCTGTATATGCGCATGTGTGAATGTGTCAATTGAGCATTGAGCATCGCGCGTTCAATCGGAGTGAAACATACAAGAGTTGTACAACAAATGCTTTCGGTCATACAACAGGCTATGCTCAACTCAACAGAACATGTGTGTGTGTGTGTATGTGGTAGAGGGGTAATATAAGTTGGATTGTTGAACCAAAAGAAGATCCTGCCAGACTGATAGTTCAACTCATGAAAACTTCCCATTGTTGTTCACTTTTAGCTTAAAATGTACCAAATGCTGACCTGTCATTTCGGTACTTCTCTTCAGACGAATATCAAACATGTGATGAAGTTCGTACGTGTAGATAAAATCTGGTTTCCGCTCACATTGTATCAATCAACAGTCAGCGGTAAAAGTCGTCTAACGAGTACCGTATTTTTCGGACCATAAGGCGCACCGGATTATAAGACGCAGTATCAATGAACGGATCCATTTTCATATATAAGACGCACCGGATTATAAGACGCATAAAGCGAAACAAAATAGTCGGATAGGTCAGACTTTATTCAAATCATTAACAATAA